TATATTGGGGGGCTCTGGGTCTCCACCCGGGGGGTATCCGGGATCCCCACCCCCCCACCGTGCTCAGCTTCGTGGCGGTGCTGCCACTTTGCAGAAACAAGGTTGGAGCGGTGAGGGGGAAGGGGGAGTACAGCTGCAGTACTGGGGGCCGGGCCTCAAGCTGTCCGTCTGCTCAGTGCTGCTCCTGATTGGCCGGAGCCACCTCCCCCCCGCGGGCACGGGCATATGAGGAGGCGGAGGCCCCGGCCGCCGCAGCCTCTGTGCGGTGGGACCCACGGACCGACAGACGCACGCTCCCACCGCGGCGCGGGCGCTGCAGAGGCCCCCAGCCCGAGCCCGCGCCTGAGCCCGTCCTGCGGCCACCGCTCATCAGCCTGTCCGCCGCTCTTCCCGCGGAGCCGCCAAGATGGGGGTAGGTGCAGGGGTCGGCTGGACGCTGTGTGTGTGACATTGTGGGTCCAGTGACTTTGGTTGTGTGAGGGAGTTGGAGGGCTCCCGCACTCCTGAGCCCTGGGGTCCAGTCTGAGGGGACCCGGGGGCCGGCTGACCTCACCAGTTCGTGTGGCTGGGAGAGTGGGCTACTGAGTCGAAGGGGGGTCTGTGGCGCATGTTGGTGGCTTTGTCCACGGGGGCGGAGGGCTGGCCCTTAGCATCTCGGTTTGACCTTGTGCGGTTGCTCGTGTGCCCCTTGCGTGAGTGTGGTGGCATGAGTGCAATTGCTTGAGGGCGAATGCGCGTGCGCGTGCTTCTGGCTTCATGCAGCCCTAACAGCGGGGTCTATAGCCATCTGTGCCCCCCCCCATCTAAGAGCCCGCAACCTGTCTGGGTGTGTCTGAGAGCTGTGCTAGTGTATTTAGGGGGCACCAAGACCCTATCCCCTCCCCTGGTCCAATGGAGGCAGACACAGGTTATGGGATAGACATAAGATGACCTCTCTTTCTCCTTCCAGACCTGGATAAGGGTGACCCGCAGTGACCGACCTGGGGCTGCAGAGTTTTCGCAGCCCCTAATCTGGGGGGTGGGGGGTAGAGACATGAGGGCTGGGAAGAGGGGGAGGAGCAAGAGATGGCTGACAGACAAGTGCCTGGCTGAGGGTGTGCGAGCACAGCCGTGTGGGGGTGGGGGTGGGGGGAGTGAGCCTGCATGCCTGCTGTGTCCTTGCCTCCGTGTCCGTGTGTCCTTCTCTGTCTGTGCATCTCTCCAGCAGATGCAGCCTCCTTCCTTGACCGACCACTTGACCCCTGCTGCAGCTCTGGACTCCTCCCTGTGTGTCTGGGGTGGGACTTGGGGAGGGCTGTCAGGGAAGGAAGTGGATGGATGGGGGACTCCCCCCTCCCCGTGTAAAGAGAACGGGGTCAGAATGGGGAGCCAAAAGGGAACATGACCGATGGGGAGAAAGATGGCGGATGAAGGGCCTACGGATGAAGATGGGGGATGGAGCAGCAGATCTGTGGGTTGGGGTGGGTGAGGGGGAGGGGAGGGAGAACAAGATGGGGGAGGGTTAGGGGAGAAAGGGGGAGGTGAGAGCCAGTGATGGCTTTCAGGTAAGTGGAATGAAGGTGGGGGATACAGACGGTTGGAGGGGGAGAAGAGAGGGCACAGTGCTTTGGGAAAGGGGGGGTCTTAGATAGAGAAACAGGGATGGGAAGCAAGGGAAAGAATTTAGATGTGGGACAAACAAGGCAGAAACAGAAAGAGACACCGGAAAACCAAAGAAAGGGACAAGACATGGAGACAAAGAGAGACTGAGATGGGGAACAGATGTGGAAAGACACAGAGACAAAACAAGAAACTGAAAGAAAGGTGCTTCTATCCAGAAACCAAATAAACAAACAAACAAATAAACACAAGATACCTGAGTGATGGAATGAAGAGCCCGAGGTCAGAGGAGGAGGTCAAGGTAGGGGTGTTTAGAAAAGACAGTTACAGGTACCCGGAGATGAGGGTGGGGAGGTGCAGAGGCGACGGACAGCACGTCACAGAAAATGGCTAGGAGCTGCAGAGGCAGGCTGCAATGAGCCAGGCAGAGCCCCCACCCTTAGAGGTGCTCCCACCCTGCAGTGCGGCCATCTGAGCTTCCTGTCTTCCCTGGGAAAGCCTCAGTTCCTCATGCCAACAGACGGAAGCCACCCCTAGGGGCAGTTGTTCATGGCAAGGGCAAGAAGGAGCTGAGGCTTGGTCCCTGAGGACATGGGTGCTACTATCTTCCCGTCAGATATGAGGTGTCCCTTCTCAGATATGAGGGTTCAGGCCCTCAACCCATTCCCTCAGACTCAGGAGGCCAGGCCCAGCCTCCTCCCTCATGCTGATGTGTCTTGGCCGCAGACCTTCTGTGTCAGGCTCAGAAGTCCAGCCCAGTATTTCTCATAGAGACTTACATTGCAGTTCCCAGTGATTCAGGGACAGGGCAGCCAATTCCCGTATTCCTGTCAGACCCTATCTCTCTCACCCTGCCTCTTCTGCTCACGTCTCCCCCCTGACCTCAAGACCGGCTGCCTTCACACCTCTCCACATGCCTGCCTCCACTGCAGGGGCTGACACACCACCCTGTAGTTCAGGATGGAGGATCAGCCACTCTCTTGTCCCCAAGTCTCTGTGCCTCCTTTTCTGAGACGCGGTACTGCTGCAGGGCTGGCCTGGGGCCAAGCTCCCAGCTTCCCGGCTGCACACTCCTCCTTGGCATTCCTGTTCCCAGCCTCCTAGGGCTTCAGTCCTTCCCTAGACTCCGAAGCCAGCCCTGGGTCTGGGGGCAGACAGCAGGCAGGTCTGGCTGCTGCAAGGTCACAAGGAGATTAGCGCTGAGCTGCACTGAGCCTCCGATCCCAGCTTGGCCTGGGCCTGCAGGATCTGTCAGCATCCCTCTGTCAGCATTCAGCCTCAGCCTACCCTCCTGCCAGCCTCGGACACCATGCTCCTGTCTGCCCAGGCCACCAAATGGGAACTCAGTCCAGGCCTAAGGCTTTTTTTCTTGTTCTATCCCCTCCCACTTCCTGCTTGCTCCTCAAGGGTAGAGCATGCCCGTCCCCTGTTCGAGACTGTGTGCAGTACATAGCTGTCTGCAGAAGAGAAGTCAGGCTCACATCTTGTTCATGAAGTCCCTTGGGAATGACTAGAGGTGGCACACTGCCTCCCACTGGAGAGCCTTTGTCCAGCTGTCATCTGGAGTGCCCTTTCCGTTTGTGATTTGCCTTGCCTGTGCGTGCAGTGGGGAGGGGAGTCTCTCAAGATCCGCTGAGTCCCTTGAGACATCCACAGTGTAGGAGACAGGTCAAACAAAGAGCTATGCTGGAGAGACAGGCAGTGACCTCCACGGAGACCTTGCACTGGAAAGACGGGTACCAAAGGCAGGAAGAGAGAAATAAGTAGAACAGGGAGAGACAGACACACAGACACAGAGCTGGGCGTCCTACTCATGTCTGGCAGCAAGACATTTAAGAGGCATGAGGAAGAACATCAGGAACTTGATACTAGCTTGTTCTATATGATGAGACAGCTGCTAGAGATAGGTAGATAGATAGACAGACAGATAGATAGATAAATTGATAGATAAATAGATAGATAACTAGATAGATAGACAGACAGATAGAATGTCTGAGAACGAGAGAAGACTCTAGAGTGAGACAAAGACATATAAAACATAAAGGGAGGGAGAGAGAAAGACTCCAGAACAAGATAGCAGCAGAGAGAGAGAGAGAGTGAGTGACAAAGAGAAAGATGTAGAACGAGACAGACAACCCAGAGAAGAGGGGGGACACAGGCGAGAACTAGACAGTGACCTCAGGAAATACCCTCAAGAGATGACAACAGCAATGCCCAGACAGAGCAAGACAACAGACAACACAGGCCCTCAGAGAGGATCTGCAATCCCAGAAGACTGAGAAAGAGAGGACCCCAGAGACTCAGGGACAGGGAGAGCCAGGGACTAAAGAGAGATGAGGCAGAGCCATAGAGACAGAGACGACACAGCATCAAAGAAGAGGAGACATAAAGCGGAACTGTCCAGATGAGCCATGGACCTCGGCGAGGTGTGGAGGGAAAGAGAGACAGACGAGCTGGCAAATAAGAAATACAGACCTGGAGAGGCGGAGCAAATGAGAAGGAGAGTTAGCCACAAAATCAGGAAAGTTCAAGAGGCCCAAGGAGAGAAGACACAGGGAATGCTGGGAGGGCAGCTCAGTGGGCAGCATCCCTGCCTGCCTTACACAGAGCTCTGGATTCTGTCAGTCAGTCGCTAGCACTGCTGTAAACAGTTCGTGGCAACGCAGGCCTGTAATCCCAGCCCTGCAGAGGTGGAGGCAGGAGCATCAGAAATTCAAGTTTTAGCCTTGACTACGTAGGGAGGTCAAGGTCAGCTTAGACTATATGGGACTTTGTCTCAAAGGTGAATACACACACTCACACACACACACGCACACACGCAAGCCAGGCATGGTAATTCATGGTCATAATCCCAGTACTTGGGAGGTTGAGGCAGGAAGAGTGTCATGAGTTCTCATCTGCGATTCATAGTGATTTCTGGGAGACCCCTGGCTAAAAAATAAAAGCCCATTTATAATAATAATAATAATTAATAATAATAAATGGGCCAGAGAGTAGGCTCAGTGAGCAAAGGGGTTTCCTTCCTAGCCTGATAACCTGCTCTTGACCCCAAGCACACAGTGAAAGGCTATTCTCTGACCTCACACATGCACTATAGTGTGTGCGCGTGCACAAACACACACACAATCAATCAATCAATTTTTAAAAAAAAAATAAAATGGCAAAAGGGAGAGACAAACACGAGGAAAGAGAGACAGACAGGGACCGTGAGTCCCAGAGACACCTGGAGCCAGACTCAGTGAGTCCTTGAGAGTATAGAGATAACCCCAGTCTAGAGATGCAGAGGCCAGCCCAAGATGAGAGCCGGGGCACGCAGGGCCGGTGTCGCTCTGGAACCCCTTCTCGCCCGCAGTCTGGTGGTTCTGACAGCTACCGTGTCGCCACCTCGCAGGACAAAAAAGATGACAAGAGCTCGCCCAAGAAGAGCAAGGCCAAAGAGCGCCGGGACCTGGATGACCTCAAGAAGGAAGTGGCTATGGTAAGTGCCACCCCCTTTGCTAGTGCCATCCCAGAATAGTCCCGCCTGCCCGGAGAACCTGTGTCTCACAATCTCCCCCAAACCACCCTTCAGACAGAGCACAAGATGTCAGTAGAAGAGGTCTGCCGGAAATACAATACGGACTGCGTGCAGGTGAGGATGGGCGGAGCCAGGGGCTGACGTTGGGGGCTGGGTCTGAGGGAGGAGGGTTCTGGGTACTTGTGGGTTCTGGTTTTGATGTGGGGTGTCAGGGTTTCTCAGGGAAGGTTTCTCTATGAGCCCCATGTCTTCTAAAGGGTCTGACACACAGTAAAGCCCAGGAGATCCTAGCCCGGGATGGGCCTAACGCCCTCACACCACCGCCCACCACCCCAGAATGGGTCAAGTTCTGCCGACAGCTATTTGGTGGCTTCTCCATCCTGCTGTGGATCGGGGCAATCCTTTGCTTCCTGGCCTATGGCATCCAGGCAGGGACTGAGGACGACCCTTCCCGTGACAATGTGAGTGTGCCCCACTGCCCTGGCCTGTCTGTGTAAAGTCCCACACATTGAGGAACACACCCACAGCCACAGGGCTCTGTCTAGACTCCCCACCTCCCATCATCCGACAGTCACAATTGCCTTTGAGAAAACGAGGTCAAAAATAAAGCAACTGCAGCTCCCTGCAGCCTAAGACAGCTGGGTATGGCTCAACAGTCGGGTATTTATTTCTCAAGCTTTCTTGAGAACCTAGGCTCAGTTCTCTGCATTCATAGAGGACGCGTGGTGGCACATGACTGTTATCCCCTCACACAGGGAACTGAGGCAGGAAGACCATGAGTTCGAGTCCAGCCTAGGCTACATAGCAGAATGCTATCTCAAAAAATGTTAGCTAGGGAAATGGCTTAATCAATAAGGCACTTGCTGTACAACCAGGAAGGCCTGCGCTTAAATCCCCAGCACCCACGCAAAGTGGGACACGCTGACCTGTATTTGTAACACCAGGGTTTCTGTAGGAAGACACGCAAAGACAGGAGAATTCTTGGAAGCTCACAGGTCAGCCTGCCTGAGAGAGAGAGAGAGAGAGAGAGAGAGAGAGAGAGAGAGAGAGAGAGAGAGAGAGAGAGAATGCCATGGGGCTGGAGAGATGGCTCAGTGACTAAAAGAACTTGCCTACCAGAGGACCTGGGTTCAGTTCCCAAGACCCACGTGGTCGCTGGCCACCATCCATCTATCCATAACCAGGGGTTAGGTCCAGTGCCCCTTCTGGACTCTATGGTGACAGGTGCCATGATGTGCAAATGTACATAGGCAAAATACTCATACATATGTATAAATAGATCTTTAGAGAAACAAAACCCAAAGTGCTCTCTCTCAAACAAAGTGGATGGTGAAGACCGATACCAAGTGTCATCTGACTTCCACAAGTGTGCCGTGGTGCGTGCACACACGCACGTGCATACATGCACATGCACACAACCTTGTTTACACAAAAGAATGCATGTACACCTAATGTTTAGTTATAAAACAGAAAAAGAAAGACTGTCATTCACATGCTAGAGCAGTTACTGAGCATGGCTTTGCTCCCCAGCACCAGACAAGACTGCCTGGGCTTGGTGGTGTAAGCCTGTTGTGCAAGCACTGGGGAGGCTGAGGCAGGAGGATCAGAGTTTAAGGTCGACTGAGCTACATGAGACCCTGACTAAAAAGAGAGTAGGTTGGAGTTTGGGTCTAAGGGTCTCTGACCTCAGCAGCACTGGAGACAGGTGCCACCAGGTGGTCACAGCCTGACAAATGGCGAGAGGGGGTGATCATCTGCCCCACAGAGGAGACAAGGCTGGCAATCCTCACATCTGTGGACACGGATCCTCACACAACCGCACAGATGTCTTCACGTGTACACAAGGAGTGAGCCTGGAGTCACAATAGGAGGTTACAGGTTCTGAGACTCACCTCATACAGATATAGTCATACTTACACACACACACACACACACACACACACACACACACACGCAGGTGCGGTTTGGACAAACACAGTATCCACAGAGCCAAGCATGGTGCACACCTGTCAGGCCAGAGTCACTCACTGGGTCAGAGAGGCTAACCCAGGAGGATCCAAAATTTAAGGTCAGAGCCCTGTGGCGGTGGCACCTGCCTTTAATCCCAGCACTGAGGAGGCAGAGGCAGACAGATCTCTGTGGGTTCAAGGTCATCCTGGATTAGTGAGTTCCAGAACAGGCAGGATTACCCAGAGAAACCCTATCTGGAAATAAATAAGTATAGAAATAAATTAATTAAAATACAAATAAACACAAAAAGACAGGCTAACAAATACACTCAAACACATATTCTTATAAATGCAAGGCGAGGCCTTCAGGCGTACAAGCAGGCAGATAGAGGCACACAGGTCAAGGACACAGACCTATTCACAAAGCTCCCTTGAAGACTCCAGTGACCCCAGGATGGAGGCAGGTGGGGAGTGTGTATGGCCGCTGTAATGCCCTGTCCTGGCATGTCCCCACAGCTGTACCTGGGCATAGTGCTGGCTGCTGTGGTGATCATCACAGGCTGCTTCTCCTACTACCAAGAAGCCAAGAGTTCTAAGATCATGGAGTCCTTCAAGAACATGGTTCCCCAGGTAAAGAAGGCTTGACAAACAGACAGAAGGAAGTGGCCAGGTGGGCTGTGCCTGGGGACTCCCTCCTGGGCAGAGGGAGTTTGAGAGGTGACTGTTCTGTATCCCACACGCAGCAAGCCCTTGTGATCCGGGAAGGTGAGAAGATGCAGGTGAACGCAGAGGAGGTAGTGGTTGGGGACCTGGTAGAGATCAAGGGTGGCGACCGGGTGCCAGCTGACCTGCGCATCATCTCGGCCCATGGCTGCAAGGTGAGGCAATGCCTCTGCTTCTAGCTCTGCTTCTCTTCTCTGAAGAATAAGGAGAAAAAATAATCCCTGAATGTCTCCTATAGACAGACCCAGAGTTCTAGGCACCAACCTAACTCCCTCAGACCCAGGGGTACAGGCCTAGCCCTCCTCCCTTAGATCCAGGGGTTCAGACCCAGCCCTCCTCCCTCAGACCCAGGGGTCCAGGCCAAGCCCTCCTCCCTCAGACCCAGGGGTTCAGGCCCAGCCCTCCTCTCTCAGACCCAGGGGGTCCAGGATCTGCCTTCCTCCCTCAGACCTAGAGGTTCAGGCCCAGGCTTCCTCCCTCAGACCTAGGGGTTCAGGCCCAGGCCTTTTCCTTCAGACTGAGGGGTCCAGGCCCAGTCCTCTTCTCTCAGACCCCGGAGTCCAGGACCTGCCTTCCTCCCTCAGATCCAGGAGCTCAGGCCCAGCCCTCCTCCCTCAGACCCAGGGGTTCAGGCCCAGGCCTTTTCCTTCAGACTGAGGGGTCCAGGCCCTAGTCTTCCTTTAGATCTAGTAGTCTAGGCCCAGGCCCATCCCACATAAATTCTGAGGGATTTTTGACCTGGGCCAAAGGTCCTGTTCCTGCCTACTCTCTTTCAACATCCTGCCTCCAATTTCCCAGATGCCTCAGGCCAAACAGGGCTCCCCTGCCTTTTTTCTTCCTAAGACAGGCTTGACTCCAAGCCCCACCCCCACCCCCACCCGTTTCCTTGCTCTCTGATCCTGGCCCTTGTGCTGAACATAACTTGCTGCTCCATCCGCAGGTGGATAACTCCTCTCTGACTGGCGAATCTGAGCCCCAGACCCGCTCCCCGGACTGCACACACGACAACCCCCTGGAGACTCGGAACATCACCTTCTTTTCCACCAACTGCGTGGAAGGTGAAGGGGAGGGAACCCCAAGGCCACAAAACCAGAGATGTGGCTCAGGAGGTGGGGTACCCAAAGCTTTCTGAGTCCCAGCAGGCCCGAGCCTCTCTCTTTGGTCCTGCAGGCACCGCTCGGGGTGTGGTGGTAGCCACAGGTGATCGCACCGTCATGGGCCGCATTGCCACCCTGGCCTCGGGCCTGGAGGTGGGCAAAACGCCCATCGCCATTGAGATCGAACATTTCATCCAGCTCATCACTGGTGTGGCCGTGTTCCTGGGCGTCTCCTTCTTCATCCTCTCCCTCATTCTGGGATACACCTGGCTTGAGGCTGTCATCTTCCTCATTGGCATCATTGTGGCTAATGTCCCAGAGGGGCTGCTGGCTACTGTCACGGTAAGGCTGAACCTCAAGGGAGAGGAGTTGGGGGTAACCCCCAGGTCTGAGGGAGGGAGATGGGGGTCTGGTCCCTGGGTCTGTGGGTGTGTCAGATGCCCTGGAACTGGAGTTTACAAACGTTGAATCACCACGTAGATGTTAGGAACAGAACCCAGGTGCTCTATAAAGACCAGCAAGCTCTCTTCCTGCTGAGCCGTCTCTCCAGCCTCTTGCCGCCATCACTGTTTTATCTTCTTACTTTTATTTTATTTTATTTTGGTTTTTCAAGACAGGGTTTCTCAGTGTAGCTTTGGCTATCCTGGAACTCTCTTTGTAAAACAACCTGGCTTCGAACTCTCAGAGATCTACCTGCCTCCCAAGTGCTGGGATTAAAGGCATGCACCACCTTGACCGGCACTTTATTTATTTATTTATTTATTTAAAAAATCACTTTATTTTATGTGTATGAGTGTTTTGCCAGCATGTGTGTATATGCACCATGCAAACACCCGATGCCCCGGAGGTCAGAAGAGAGCACTGGATCCCCTGGAACTGGAGTGATAGACAGTTGTGAGCCACCACATGGGTGTGGAGAACCGAACCTGTGTCCTCTGCAAGAGCAACGGGTGTTCTTAACCACTGAGCTGTCTGCCCAGCCCCTGCCCCAGTGCCTTTTAATTCAACCCCCAAAGTTAGGATGCACCCACTCAGGGCAAAGTGAACTGATAAGCTTTCCTTTGTTACGTTTGTGTGGCCGGGCATGGCGGCACGCGGTGTATGTTTGTGTATGCCCACCATGGTCCCCGTGTGGAGGTCAGCAGACAACTTTGTCTCCTTCCACCACATGGGTCTTGGGCTCTGGTCACCAGGCTTGGCAGCAAGCACTCTTAGTCACTGAGCCATCTCGCCAGCCCATTTGTTCCATTTTTTAGAATAAAGTAATGCTCCACTCCCCACCCCACCCCCGTACCCAATCATCGTCCCCACCCCAGACACGTAGTGAGTGCTTTGTTTAAATATGGCCCTTCTGTCCTTCCCTCCCTCTTTTTTTTCCTCTCTCTCTCTCTTTTTTTGCTTTTAATATAATATTTTATTCTTTTTTAAATTTTTATTTATTTATTATATGTAAGTACAATGTAGCTGTCTTCAGACATCCCACAAGAGGACATCAGATATTGTTACAGATGGTTGTGAGCCACCATGTGGTTGCTGGGAATTGAACTCAGTGAGGAGCAGTCAGTGCTCTTAACCGCTGAGCCATCTCTCCAGCCCCCCTCAGGCTCTTTTTAACTGAATGTTGTTTTACTGAGTTCCATTCGTGTGCTTGTAGACAGCAATAACTTACTCTTTTTCATTAGTAGATAGTATTCCATCCGAGTCCCCAGTTTACTCTTCCTGCTGTGGTAGACACTGCTGTTTTTTCTTTTTTTCGTTTTAAAGACACTAATCTTTAAAAAAAAAAAAAACAATTTTATGTTCTTAATGTTAATTGTTACTTATTTGGGGGTGTGGTTAGAGAGGTATCAGATACCCCGGAATTGCCTGGTTTGGTGCTGGGAATCAAGCTCTTAATCACTGAGCCTCCGAGAACATTCTACCGTGTGTTTGGGGGCCACATCTGAGTCTGTCTATTGTTCAACCCCTGAGCCAACAACATTGCTACTGAACAGTCATTCCCCAGCCCTGGGTGCACCCTGTGATTTGCGCCGAGGCCAGGCAGCTGAGCTGCGGACATCTGTGCAATTCCCCTGTCCTTTCCCGTCCTTCAGGTGTGTCTGACACTGACTGCCAAGCGCATGGCTCGCAAGAACTGCCTGGTGAAGAACCTGGAGGCGGTGGAGACTCTGGGCTCCACATCCACCATCTGCTCCGACAAGACCGGCACCCTCACCCAGAACCGCATGACCGTCGCCCACATGTGGTTTGACAACCAGATCCACGAGGCCGACACCACTGAGGATCAGTCCGGTCCGTGGTGGCTCTGGGCGGAGACTGGAGTATCTGGGCGGAGACTGGGGCACCCTGTCCCTGCGGTCTCTAGGTCTCACACGTGACTCCTTACAGGGACCTCTTTCGACAAGAGCTCACACACCTGGGTGGCCCTGTCCCACATCGCCGGCCTCTGCAACCGTGCCGTCTTCAAGGGCGGGCAGGACAACATCCCTGTACTCAAGGTGGGTCCAGCTGCCTGCCCACCCCAACCCTGCATCCCACCTCCGCACTCTGCAGTGCTGACTGACCTGGCTCTCTCCTGCCGCAGAGGGACGTGGCCGGTGATGCCTCCGAGTCTGCCCTGCTTAAGTGCATTGAGCTGTCTTCCGGGTCCGTAAAGCTGATGCGTGAACGAAACAAGAAAGTGGCCGAGATTCCCTTCAACTCCACCAACAAATACCAGGTACGAGGGCACTCCGGCTCCGGGCGCTGCACGATATAAAGAAATGTCTGTTTCGCTCTGGACTATGGTGACACACACTTTTAACTCCAGCACTTGGGAGACAGAGGCAGGAAGATCTCTGTAAGTTCAAGGCCAGCCTGGTCTACAGAGTAAGTTTCAGGAGAGCCAGGGCTACACAGAGAAACCCTATCTTGAAAATGAAAAAAAAATAATAATAGTAATAAAATCTATTTGAACTGGATGTGTTCGTGCACATCTGTGATCCCAACACTTGGAAGGTAGAGGCAGGAGGATCAGGAGTTCAAGGCTATCCTCAGTTATATAGTGAATTTGAGGCCAGCCTGGGCTACAGAAGAGCCTGTCTTAAAATGGGGGAGTGAGGGGTGGAGTCAGGCATAATGTTACAGGCTGTAATCCCAGCACCAAGGAGGTGGAGGTAAGTGCATCAGAGCTATCCTCAGGTACCCAGCAAGTTCCTGGCCAGCCTGGGCTATACGAGACCTTATCTCAAAACAGGAAAAATAAATAAATAAAACATCTATCAGTCCAGATAGGTAGGACACTAACAGACCAAGGAAATGATCGATCCTGGTCCAGCTTGGCGAAAGAATGGGATGATTAGAGTTAATTATAGGAACAGGGCAGGAAGTTACTTACAGGATCGTTGAGTGACTCAAAAACAGCTGCTCCACCCAGAGTGGGCAGTGAGTCATGAATGCTGGGTTGCTAGAGTCCCAGCTCCCGGCCAGCTGTGGAGACAGGCGGGGGTGGGGTGGGCGGCGAGTGACTCTCCCCTTCCCACCCTTCAGTGAGGGACCGTTAGCGACTGCCACCATTAGCACAGCCCTAGCCATCACTGTACCGTTCTGTATATTTCATGGATAAAGGCCTTCTGGAACTCTGTTTCGTGATGGCGCCGGTCCTGACCAGAGGAAATAGTTCCGTGACTGGTAGCACTGGGACAGCCAGCAGGGACCTCGTGGTTTCTCCATAATTCCTGGATGTAGCCATCTCTGTCCCACTCTCTTACAGCTTTGGGGCAAGACACTCATTTTTTATTAGTTAGTGCTTCAGTTCCCGTCTGTAAGGACTCAGGATGGTGACAGCCAGGGTGGGGGAGGGGAAGCTGCTGAAGCAGCAAGTTTTATAGGAGAGGTTGAAATGGGAGACCCAGGAGCCACGAACACCCACACCCGACAGTAGAGGGTGGGTCCTGGTCACCGTCTCAAGCCTAAAGGTATCACTTTTCACACATTTTCCAGAAATGTTTTTGAACCAGAAATGTCGGTACTAGGGACCATGGGGTGGTGAGGTTAACAGTGAGACTCTTGCTTTCTGACACACTAGTCCCTGGAGGTAGACAAAGGATGGGGGGAGGAGCCCTGCGTATAAAGGAAAGAGGGTTCGGACAGCGGGGCGGCATGTGCAAAGGTCCTGCGGAAGGAGTACAACCTGTCTGAACCATGCGGTGAGGGAACCAGGGCAAGGCATACAGATCTGTGGGGTCTGAGGGCTGTGGGGAGACCCGGCCATGACTCTAGGGGAGCGAGAACCATGACAGGAAGCAGAGGAGGGCAGACCAGGCTTGATGCATATCCTTTCAGGTAAACAGTTTCGCGTGGCTACAACTCACAGACCGCGAGCGCCTGTGCTCGTGTGCTCCGACTTAGGCAACACCTACCCGGTCAGTTTTAGATCATCTTTACCGTCTCAGAGAGAAACCCCAACCCCCCCCCAACCCCCGCACGCTCTCAGACACCACCCATCCCTTCGCCTGCACACCCTGCCCCCAGCCTCACGCAAATACTAACCTACTTTCTGTCTCTGTGGATTCACTTGTTCTGGACATTTCATCAAAAAAAGGAGAAAACGGAATTGTGTAACATTTGGCCTTTTTAGAAATCGTTTGTTCCGAGATCCATCCACACGTCCACCAGAGCCTCATTCTCTTTTTACAGCGTCTGTTACCGTGTGTATGTGATGGTGAGGCTGTGTGGAGTCAGAGGGAAGATCCAGGGATTGAACTGAGGTCTGCGGGCTTACACTGCAAACAGCCCTACCCACTGAGCCATCCCACCAGCTTCCTCCTGACTCCCCCCCACACACACACACACACTTCAAGACAAGGTTTTTCTATGTAGACTTGGCTGTCCTGGAACTTGCTATGTAGACTAGGCTGGCCTCGAACTCACAGAGATCCACTTGCCTTTATCTTCTGAGCACTGGGTTTAAAGGCATGCGCCATCACACCTTGCCTCCTTCAGGGCAAGTTCTCTTGGTTTTTTAATCTTTCTTTCTTCTTCCTCTTCCTCTTCCTCTTCCTCTTCCTCCTCCTCCTCCTCCTCCTCCTCCTCCTCCTCCTCCTCCTCCTCCTCCTCTTCTTCTTCTTCTTCTTCTTCTTCTTCTTCTTCTTCTTCTTCTTCTTTTCTCTATCTTTTGAGACACTATAACCCAGTCTGACCTGGAGCTCCCTGTATAGCCCTGGCAAGACTCAAAATCATAGTGATTGTCTGCCTCGGCCTCACAAGTTCAGTGATTACAAATGTGAGACACCATGCCCAGCTGTTGTAAGAGAAAAAAAAATACATTCTGTTGTGTGGATGTCACATCTTGTTGGTCTGTTCATCTGTTGATGGACAGTTAGGCTGATACCACCTTTTAGGAAACTGCTGAGCTCTTTATCTGTGTGGCTGCAGCATTTCTCACTGACTGACTTAGGGCTTCTTTTAGGTTTTAATTTTTGTTGGGACTAGGGATGGAAACCAGGACCTTATATTAGCAAGTGCTTTGCCTCTGAACCACACCCCTACCTATTCTTGATGGATTCTAGGCAGGGGCT